CCAGATATGTGGGAAGTACAAACTGCACACTTGGACATTTCACATGTTCAGTCTGATGATCCAATCAGAAAATACTCAGCTGCCAGTAAATCTGAGTCATGAGTTTTGAGTGACTCCAAAAAAAAACAAAAAAACAAGACGAACTTTCCTGATTCGTCAGCAGATGGCGATCAATCAGCATTTCAAGTATGAACTTCTATTATTTTGTCCATTTTAACAAAAAAAAAAGCTCTTTGTGCTCCTGGAGGGCGCTAGTAGATTGATTGATTGATTGTGTCGATGAAAACATAGTCATCGTTGTGTTTCAGCACCTCGACACATGAGGGAAACTGATGCCGTACTTTCGCAAAGTGATGCTACAAAAATTAAAGATTCATCATTGTTCTGCACACCTTTATCCATTAGCTAGCAAGGAAACCGCATGGCAACCTCGGAGACCGAAAGATAAAAGTTCCAAAACCTGCAGTCCCTCAAATGACCACTTGAGGCTGCCTCCAAAACCGAGTAAATCCCCATCGACCTCCATGTTAAAATAATCAACTTCACAGCAGAAATAAACACGTTTACCGTCTGGTACCAAGAGTAGTTTGGATCCCTACAGCTAACTTCTCTCTTCATGGCATATATACAGGGAATAAATTATAACAAGAGTCACTTGTTTAGGTTGTTTTAAGGTTTGAGTTGAGCTTCAAAGATGTTCTTCAGGAAAACTATGAACAGGTCACCTTGGATACAGTCAATGGGAGCAGCATTAACGTTGATTTTGGGGTTGAATTTGTCTCCACCGGGGGATTTTAAGTCCAATATTTAACTTTTATTTCCTCTGCTGACTGATTTTGGAGTTCAGCAACTTTCACCACAATCGCCTCATTTGGCTTCGACTACATGCCATCAGAGGAACATAGAACGTAGTGACTAAGATTTACGTCTGCAAATTTGCATAAATAGTACTCAGCATCAATATCTCAGTATTTACAGGTGCGAACTTGTCGACACATTCCTCGCCAGCAATAAAAAAAACAAAGCAACTGATTTTTCTAAGTGACTCAACAGAGCCCAAAGTACAAAAAGTACTGAAATCGTCGCGCTTATTCAAACACAAAACCAAAATCCCGCGTCGTGAGGAATTATTAACATTGACGAGCTTGACAAAGCATCGATTCGCGGTTCATGAAATCGCAGACCTTTACATTTCCCATGATTCTGAGCACCTCTGGGAGTTTTTTTTCCATTCACGCTGCCTTGAACATGAACTTGACAGTTCTGTCTTTGTGCTGGAAACGATCTTGACCCGAGGTCCGCCCACTTGTGGAGCTCTTTCACTACAGCACATTGTCTGTTGAATGGAATTGTAAATGATGAGACTTCTAATGAAACATCTCCTTTAAATAAGTTATTGTTTCGGACTTCTGCTTGCTCTGATGATCTGTGTATTTTTAATGCAGCTTTTGAATAAGAAAAATCAACATATGGCTTCATTGACAGATTCACCAAACCAGTAGCTTGGCTTTAAAAAAAAAAAAAAAAAGCCAAGATGAAATTCAAGTTTCTATAAAATTTGTCTTTTCAAACTAATTGTTTTATTTCTAGTTGTTCTGGTGGTGCACTTTTGATGCACGCTTTAGGAAAACCAATCCAACAACATCTTTGTAAATGGCTCCGCCGGCCACAAGGGGGACGCTGTTCTGTCACACTCTCATCCTGCATCAAACTGGCTGACTTCCATCACAAAGATGTGCTCCTGGCATCGGGCTGCGAAAACAACTGCTCTTCCTTTTAATAACATTAAGTCTGACTCCGGTGCCAGGTGCTTTACTGCTTTCACCTTCAGCCGCCGAAATGGTAAATACAATCATTTAAAGCTGCAATCTGCTTTTATTAGCTGTTCAAGCTACAAGTGTAACACAATTATACGAAATCACACAAGATTAATGGGGCAGCTCTAATGACAGCGAGGACGCCGAGCTCTAATGTGTGTGTGTGTGAGGGTCTATGTGGGTCAGTGGTTCATGCTGGTTAATATATACGGTGGCAGCGAAGGTCCGGCCGGAGCCAAAGTCAAGGACACGCGGTCATAAAAGTTTTGACAGCAGCTCCGGCGACACTGAGTGATGCTTTAATCCACCGTGTCACCGTAGACACTCTCTCAGATTTCAACTGGGAACGCTGCCGTGCTTTTTGGCTGAGATTTCGCCGCTTACTTTCCCAAACACACACACACACACAAACTCTTACTTTCCACTAAACTCAAGTTACTGACTTAATAAATCATTTAACAACAAACACGCCTGCAGTCAACACAGTAACTTTCAGCGCTGCGCTCACAGACTGACAGCAAGACAAACTCAGAAACTGCAAAATTCCACGACTTTTTTTTTTTTTTTTACTTACATAAGTGTCCATTTGGTTCAACACACCAGCTATCAAATCCATCTACTCCACGACCAGCTGTTACGTCTGCAAACATTTGACTCAAAGCCTTTCCCCTCAAATGTCCTGTTGCACATCACAAGTGATCCAAAGGATCTTGAGGATTACCAAGTCTGGTATCATGCAACCTTCGACGGGAGTCTTTCACTGATTTATTGGTCTCGTCTGATCGGCTCCCATCGATGCTCTCCGCCACACGTGTCACATTCGAGCCCGGTCTTGGGAATTAACTGCATCAGATGCTGCCATAAAGGCGGCATTGTAATCAGCCCTGAGGTGTGTCTCTGGACGCGTTGTCTCTGATGTGATCCTGAGCTCACGGATTCAAAACGGTGTTACAAATCATCTCGACAAGGAATCTTCGGCAGCCGAGATTAGATTAAACTCGGGGCCGAGAGCGAGAAGGCTCACACAGAAGCGACAACGTAGTTGGACGTCCGAGTCCACCGCCTTAACCGCCAGTCGGTGTCATCCACCTCTGAGGCTTAACCCCACCAGCTCCCCTCAAAACTGATCCTACACGTAGTTTCTGACGCCTTCAGCGGGTTCATTAAGTTCTAACTATGCGTGGTAATGTTTTGCTGCCAACCAACAAAAACTTCTTCATTCTGTGTTGCAGGGAAGGATCTTATTAACTTCAAATGCTGTTTCAGGGATTTTTCCAACTTGACAAAATTGCACATGTGGGGAAATTACTAACTTCCTGCTGTGTTGGGGACATAATAGCAGCATATAGCAACTGGAAAATAAGAAAAAAAACACAACTATCACCCTTCAGATCCACATGTGAGTCTAACCTCTATGCAACGTCAAACATCCTCAAAACAAGGGATGGCAACAGACAGCAGTTTCTTGGCTCTACGTTCAGTTCTGAAACAGCTTATTTAATCCACTGGGGCTCAGCGATCTTTGATTCAATTTGTATAAATGACTTGATAGGAACTTAAATTCATTTTATTTTTCTCTCTCTCGAACTCCTGCCTGGATGTTTTGTACAGTTTGTACTCACTGCCAGTAAAAAAAAAAAAAAAGAAGAAGAAATTCCATTACAGGTTTGCTAGACTCTGGATGTCAACAACTCTGGGTAATTTTCCAAAACTGACACTGATCCAAAAACGGAACAAACTACTTAATAACAGAACTCAACCCTGCTCAAGTCACTCTGAGGCTCTTTCAAGGCCCGTTTCCTCCTTTTTCAGTGCTTATAAGACACATGGAAACCACACATCAGTTAAAAAACACCAGAATCATTGCTCAATTAAATCACATTTTGAGATGCATTTAAAAAAAAAAGATGGCATGCCTTATTTTAGGTGTTGTAGGTGGTGGAAACAGACTGCATTTACTTTCCATGTGGTGTCAAGAACATATTGACTCATAGATTTGGCTAAATAATCCAAAAACACACCGTCAATAATTGCAGTTTTTTTGGGGGGGCTTTTTTTTCTGCGTATTTTTAAAACTGCTCTAAATATCTGTTCTTCATTGTGACACGCGCTTCATCACCGAGGCCAAAAAAAGAGACGAAATTAAACACGAGAAGAAAAAAAAAGAGGAAGCGAAACAAAGGTAGAGAGAGGTACTCGAAACAGACAGAGAGAGAGAGTGGGAGAGAGACATAGGCGCAGAAGACGGAGAGAGAGAGCGCAAGGGAGACTCGTGGTTGAGGAGAAGCAGCGCACGATGTCGAGTGACAGGCGAGCATCTCCGCCTTCTCACCGCTCCGAGCGCCTCACTTCCCCTTTCTTTAACAGTTGAGCAACGGAATCGATCCAAATAAAGTCAATACGATAGAGTCAGAATGATCTCCGTGCGTTTTTTTTTTATGTCGTTTGATTTATAACAAAAAACAAAAAAGCGCATCTTTACGCACGTAAAAATAATTGAAGAAAGACACAAAGACTGCGTGAACGTGTGCATATATGGAACAAAATCGCCAATGAGGAGCTGAAAATGTATAAAGAATAGACCGTTTCACATCCTCAACGAGGCAAGACACACGAAACAAGCACATGGTAATGATTGATTAAACATTAAAGATCCCTTGGAGACAATTGACGCACGCATGTGAGAACAGTCTGCATCTAACGGATGAAAGAGACATGAGGATACATTTAGAAAATAAAAATAAAATATACAGAAAAAAACCCCCACAAGAACATTTCAGGCTGAATTTAAAAAATACAAACCCACCAGTGTGTCCTCCTGAGCGCACGAATCAATGAACGCTCAGCGAGTGAAACAGCCTTTTTTTTTTTTTTTTTTTAAATGAAAACCCAAATCTACAGCCTCCCCATCAGGAAACACATCCCTGCATGCACGCTGCCATCACCTAAAACCTCCAATAAGGAAATAACTGCTCTCACCTAGAGATGCTCGTCAACTTTTCTTAATTGCTCTTTTTTGTTTGCAATAAATAAAAAACTGTCATTCAGTCAAAGATGCAAATAAAAGCAGAAATTCTGAATTAAAATAAAAAATTAAAAATGAGGAGAAAATGAATGAAAGCAGCGCGATCATCCCTCCCCTGCTTTTATAGGTGTGCAACGAGGATGTCGTTATTCGTTTACCTGCTATGTTGGTGTGATTCTGTAGATTATTTTTTGTCCTTTTAATGTCCTTTGAGCGCGGTCCCTTGTCCGTTTCGTCTTGTCCGTGTCCTCCTGTGTCCGTGAGAGCGACTGAGGGCTGGACGCGTCGGTAGCCTATATTTTAGCCTATTTATAAGCTTCTTTCTGACCTTTGTCTTTCACCAGAGAGGGGGAGAGTCTGGGGGGACTACATACAGGCAGTGGAAAATCACCGGCCTGCCTCCTCTCGGAGCAACAGGAGATGATACCTTCAGGGACCACAGGCAACCTCGGATTTCTTCGCAAGTGCGCCGTTACCGGCGCGCAGTATCAGAGAGGAAAATTTTCGTAAATTTTAGGGCGTGGGTGTTTACCTGCTCGCAAGTGCGTTTGTTTTTACGATCGTGTTTTGTTCCTGTGCGTCGATGCAAACTAAAAAACAAGACTGGTGCATCTCTCCAAAGATCAATCCCCAAACGCACCGGATTCTGTTTCTAAATAATTTAAATTGGAAGGCACACGGTTTATTTTCTTTGTTCCTTTGTTTGCAACATCTGTGGTGTCATGTTTAGGCGCTGCTGTTGCTGCCGTATTAGACTTTTTCCTTCCTTTCTGTGTCCAGAAAAGTTTTAAAAGGCAATGCACTAAAGAGAGTTGTTGCACGAGAGGATGCAACTTTCTGTCAAATCTACAAAATCATCACAATTATTTAAAAAAAGAAGCTTCATTTTATCTCCTCATCCTGTATCTCTAATTAAGACTTCTTTTCATCATTCCAACAACAAGCGCTTCAAAGCTCCGCTAAGCCAGACACTTTCTTTTTGAGTGAGGGGTTTACGAGCAGCCCCTGAACGCAGCATTAAGGAGCATTAAAGTGGCAGTTCCCCCCCACCCATTTAGTTGTTATCTTAACCGGCTCTCACGGGCACACGCTCAGATTGTCAAGCGCGTTCACGGACAGCAACACTCCCCCTTTTACGCGCGCGTCAGAGAGCAGGCTGTGGAGTGCGCGCAGCGGTAGAAATGAAGAAACAGGGTGTGCAGTTGTGTTTAGCATCACTTCAGATGAAGGGTTATAGAAAAAAATATATATTCTTTTTCATTCATCTTTTTTAATGGTTACAGTATGTTCTACAGCCCGCAATGCGCTTTTCAATCAGCTGTCTCTAATAATGCATTTTAAAAAGTCAGAAAATTACATAATTACACAAAAAAGAAATCAATACCTGGAGGTGGATTTTTCATCATTACATTACCATAATGAACAAATTAGATGTAATTAAACAAAGAGTCCGCTTGGCTTACCAAAGACGTGTCCGCACAGGTGTGATCACCGGAGCAGGAATAAAACATGACACCTGTGTTGCATCCTTTTCTTAACAGGTGAGCTGTTCTCACCTGGACTGGCCAGCTTCGCCCTGGGTCCTAGTGCCCCCACCCCCCCACATACACAGGAATAGAGAGTGTGTTGCAACAGCATAATGAAATCCAGCTGGAAGAATTCAGCTCAGATTCACAACCCTCAGTCGTGTTTGTTTTTGTTCATTTCTCAAGGAACTTATTGTACTCTACCACAGTGGATGATCTTTTAGTGTCTTCATGTTTAGTCATTTATAAGGAGCAAGTGCTCTTTTTCATTGTTCAGTAACTTTTTGTGGTTGCATGACACAGAGTCAGTAATTTGAGCAAATGCCCAACAGAGGGTGTTCCAATATCCGAGCTATCACACTATGTAGGACGCCCGAAAAAAATGAGTACGTCCCAGGACATAGTTTCTTTTACAAAGAACACCAGAATTTTATACGACACCCAGTTGGACCTTGGCATGCTTTTCTGGCCATTTTGACCCCCCGATCCTTATACATAGGAATGGTATCTTGCACAAGTATAAACAAGTTTTAATCAGATGACAGCTACACTACAGACTGCGACAGATATATGACCGAGACGGTTAAAGCTTCAGGCGCAATATTATGACAAAGTAAGATTCAAGATTAACTTAATTGTCCCTGGCGTGGGAAGTTTGTCTTGGGTTAGTCACCCATGCTGCAGTCAAAACAGGCAGACACAAACAGGGAAAACACAGTTAATAGGTAGAATAAATAAATACGAGTACATCAGGTATGTATGTTTGTATACATATATACCTGTATATGTACGTAAATACAAATTAACAAGAATAAAAGTCATGAGTCCAAAACATGGCATTTAAAAAAAAAGAAAAAAAAAGAAAAGAAAAACAATGTTAAAGTAGTATAGCATGCACCAGTATGCAACAGTGTTTGGTGAAAGGAAACAGAAAACGTGAGCGATTTGGAATGCAGCTAGTATGTTTACGTTCAAGCGGCTGCACCCTCTAGCGGCTGTAGGAACAAGCCCCTAAAGGCCGATGCACGCTTTCCGCCCTCATGCAGCGGTCCACGTGACAGAAATATTCTCAGCTGCCCGAGTCCTCGGCGGATGACTGTGTGGAGCCCAAAATTTGTGACCACACGGACTGCACATGTGCCAGGAAAGCAAATAGCGTCCAAAGTAAATGCTTGTTATAAGGAAAGACTGTGTGAGCAGCTTGTCCGTCATTGGCACCTTTATAATTGATCATTAAAATAGTGTAATTGAAGCGGTCGCTGCTGGACTTGGGAGGGGATTTCGTTGGTGCATGATTTCCATCGATGGTGCCCAAACACAGTGGGAAGTTCTAAATTCTCCAGAAGGCCTTCGCTATGCGCTGTGCCAGCGTTTCAAACTGCCTTGTTTGTTTTTCTGTGTTCAGCGTGAACATAATCCGACAAAATGCAGATGTGTGCCTATAGCAGTGTGAACAGAAGACGCTGGGACGAGTGAGGATGCGGAAACTGTGAATTTGCTTAGCGAGGAGGTCGGGGAGGATGGAGGGGTTGATGAAACATCTGACTTTAATGTGGCGTACAGCTGTTTGTTGCATGTTTCCAGCTAGCATTATTTCTTTCCTCTAACTTTAAAGAAGTACCTATCTTAACTCAAACAATGATACTCACCTAAGAAAGTCATATATGGGCTAAACCTTAATATACTTTTAGCATAGAATCAGAGTCGAAGCCAGAATCAAATTTGTTTCCTAGTAGGTTTTCACATACAGAGAATTTGACCTTGTGTTTAGGTCGTTTGTAACATTGCCTGCTCCAATTCAACTCAATTGAATTTCCCTTCTGGGATAAATAAAGTATTTTTCATTCATTTCATTCAATCCTAAAGTGGAGGAACAGATCAGCTTCATGTAGGGTGGAGGACTTGTTGGTTGCATTTCATTGATGTTTATATTGTTTCTTGTCTCCCTATTTTATTCAAAGGTAGCCCAGTTATCATAACATGCACCATAGTAGCAGATTTCCACTGGCAGCTTTTGTTCTATATTATTTTTCTTGACATTTGTAGTTGTGCGATGATATTTGCTCACAGGTGTGATAATATACATCACACTGCAGGCAGAAAAGCAGACTTGCATCGGCTGTTAAGAAGTATTAATCATCCCAAGAAGAAGGTTTCTCTCGAACCTCTAACCTCTTCTCCAGCACCACCATGAAACACGCTGTGAATATTCATCGTCCCGAGGGGACAGTTTCCTAACATTTTGGTTATTTTTCTTCTACTTCCCTTTAGCACCGCCGCAAGGTCAAAATTTCAATTTGTACCTCATTTCATTGTTACCATGGAAATAACCTGATGAGAAGAAGAAGAAGAAGAAGAGTGGTGGAAATATTTGAATACTTGGACAGACATGGTAATGAGGCTGGCACAATGTCTGACGGGGACAAGAGCGAGCACAATAACAGAGGCTTGTTTACATATCGGATACAATATTCAAATAACGGGACGGGGACGTAGAGATGATTACCCGAATGTCCTGCTGTCCATTGTGTGGCAGAAGGAGAAACGGCCTCAGCTGACCTTCCTGAGGCATGTGAATACATATTTCACCTTTTTCAAACTAAACATTGCTGCCGAGTCTTTCTACACTTCTCCTGTGATTGTGATGTCTGCTGCACTCCGACTGTGCTTCCGAGGTCATTTTTCTGTTTCTTGACTTTCAGTCCTGCTAATGCTGCTGCCTCCCTGTTTACAGGCAGCTCGAGGAGGCGTTTAACTGAGGCCATGATGGAGAACTTCTTGTTCTATTCACAGTCAAAATCATTTCACTTCACGAGCCCATTCCCATTATGTCTCTTCAGGGCGACGTGTTGACAGCTCGCAATAACCTCTGTCCTAAAAACTCTTTTCTTATCTCGAGCCCTTGACTGGTAAGTCACCCCCTACATTTTTTTTAAATGTTATCTCACTACTTTGTTTGCACTGGCTTTCTGTAATGACTGAGAGTAACCTCCCAGAAGTATGTTGTTATGGAGGAGGCACAAATGAGAAAAGGAGGTTAATGCCCCAGACAGTGAGGCGTAAACGACGACCAGCCACAACAATAAAACCACCCGTCTTATATCGGGTAGGTCCCCCTTCGTGTCGTCAAAACACCTCTAAGCCTTCGAGCTCTGGACTCCACAGACCATGAAGGTGTCTGGTGGTATCAGTGTGTTCTGACTCCTTTCTGTTGGCAACTTTAAGGTATTTGGCAATCTGTGCTACAGTAGCTCTCCTCTGGCCAGCATTCACTCCCCTGGTTCACTGGTTGTTCCTCCTTGGACAATGTTTGGCAGGTACTAACCGCTGCAAACTGGCAACATCCCAACAGACCTGCTGTTTCAGAGATGCTCTGACCCAGTTTTCTAGCCGTCACAGCCTGGCCCTCGTCAAAGTCACCAGAATACTTGCACTTTCTTCCTTCTTCTAGCACATCAACTTCATAAACTGATGAATCCTACAACTACACAGGTGCTGAGGTAACAAGACAATCCATGTTTTTCACCTCATGTGTCAGTGAACGTTTACCTAAACTGTAGTTTAGCAAATCTGGGTGTCTAAATCTACAAACTGAGTAAAACCAGAAATAATCTGAAGTGACTTAAAGGGTCAGAGACATAAATCAAATATATGGAAATTAAATTTGTAAATCTGTAACTCACTGTGTGTTGACATTCATTCAGCTGCACAGGAGTCATTACACAAAATCACTCTAAAGCCAAGAGTCAGTTAAAAAAAATAAAAAATGTTGTTAGACACAATCCAGACAACAAAAGAGACAAACAATCTCAAATTACCGTTCTTATCAGAGGCGAGGACAAGAACACTTCAACAAAAACACAAATTCAATAACAAAATACAGAATTAGTTGAGTTTGGTTGGTATGTATGTGCACGGGTGAGGACGAGCAAACACGCTGGAGGACAAACAAAAGATTGCTCTATAGTTATAAGAGTCATAGTTTTGACCCTTTAAGGCTGTACTTGGTGCTCACAGTGACGACCTCCAGAGGCCGAAGCTTGTTTATCATGATCGCCATCTTTGCTTTGTATGTTAGAATAACTGAGTTCAGTGAACTAAACATAATAATGTTATTATGTCTTTTTTTTTTTAAATGGTGTTTTAAGTCTTAAATCACAAACGAACATTTCACTGGAAGCCGCCGCCTCGAGGGACGACATGTCATCGCCAGAGAGAGCCAATGAACGTCAAGCCCAAAGTCTGTCAAAGGGGACTGTGGAGAACTGTATTGCAACATGATAAAACTTGTTTGACAGCCGAGATCCCCTCCGTGTGCCACAAAACTGTCAGACAGTAAATATTAGGAGATGCAAATGATTGACGTGCTTTATGTAATACTGGTGAGGGCGGATTACCAAGCTTGCCTCAGAAAAAACTATTTA